TTATTGGACTTGGCGAGAAGTGTTAAGAGCAGACTAAGCTAAGGAATAAAAAGAGGATTTGGATGCTTATCTTCCTTCCTACACCTAACTTGGCTATCGCTTGTCAGCTTCAGTCCCTGTTGAATCGGTTCTATCCGTTGATTTCTGGTTCCACCCTAGGATTCTTCCTTCAGCCCGAAAAGCCAAGCCACTGATGCTACTGCTGCTAAATCAGCCGATGGAGTGCAACGTTACCGGGTCATTCTGTCGGTTTTAAGAGCCTTCGGCAACCGGCAAAGAAAGACCGTTCTGAGTAGCAGTAACAACGCTCATAGCAAGCAAGAAAGATGGGGTAAATGGGCCGGAAAGACAAGTTTATAGAGTCGGAGAGCTAGTAGAGCTCATAGGTTTCTACCTGTGACTAACTTAGTGTGCTTTTGGTAGCTGCTGCCATACCAACAATCTATTTTTCGTAAATAAGCACTAGCATTACGGTGCGAGATCTGCCAAGCTAAGCTCAATCACAACCCACCGGCTCAAACAAAGGCTGGATCGGTTCACTGAACGCCAACAAAATATAGCAAGTCCTCTAGCAAGCCAATTCCTTTCTTCATCGCCTTCGACAGCTAATCACTATCGTACTCTCGGTACTTACTATTTGAGTACTGGTATTGGATTCTCCTTCAGCGGAAAGATGGAATTGACCATGCACACTGACTCCTATTCAAGATATGGATACTAGACTGTCCTGCATATGAGACGGATTGTTCTTCTAGCCTACATCGACGGGACTCAACTCCTTACTCTCTTCCTTCTATACCTATTTGAAAGTCAGGAATAGCAGACTTGTTCACCTATTTCCTTACTAGAGCAGATACTTGAGGACATAATGCAGCCCGTGTTACTGGTGTGTGAAAGGATAAGCGGTAGTGCCCCACACCCGTGATGCACTTCCTTGCTTTCAGGTATATCTCCAGATAGATAGGGTTTTCTCTCTTGTTTAGTGCTTCTCACTCTTTCCTCTCAAACGGCGATACCTTAGCAGCATTTGGCCCATCCCAGAGTGAAACTCCCTAACCAGATTCCGAAACTAAACGAAGAAGAACTCCTAAACGCAGAAAAGACACCTGCGACTGCAGCTACTTACTTGGCTTTCATCCCTCCTTATACTTATTCATGAGGCTTCACTTGGCATAGATGCCAGGGCCTTGTTCTGACTTCCGAGACTCATCTATCCTATTACTGAGAAAATTCCCTACTTGGAGTGAGAATCCCTTTATCCCGAAGCAGCGGCAGAAGCGGTTTGATCTCTTACCTTTTGCTCATATCCCAGAGACTCGTCTGCAGTTAGTTTCTCATTCGAATATGAATAATCAACAAGGGCACCTTCTCTCTTTACCTTTACTGGCTTTAATGACACTGCAGGGGACGCAGCAACAGACTCTTTCCCCTCAATCGCCGGGGGCTATTATCCGCTCACTCCCTTGCTTTCAGAGAACTCCCCCAGTTATAGATAGATAGTCAAAAGGGGCTTTCTTACTCACAGGATTTCAGGATACTCGTTAATGCCTCACTCCCTTCTTCTACTTCTGACATTCTACTTGAAAGTCTGATATCCGATAAACTAGGTTTAGCTTGAATGTCTTAGTTCACATACTCTACGGGATTTCTTCTTTACTAGAACTCTTTTCTCATGACGTGGTTGGGAACGTTGTGTCATCTGTTCGTTTCGATTCAAAAAGTTTAACTTCGAACTAACCGGGAAAGCAGAAGCGGAACATACTTATATAATTAAGGTACTTCCTTACTTAGAGTGAGAATACTCTTTATATGGCACTTATCCCATCCGAGTACTTACTTGACTTACTTTACTGAAACAGCCTAAGCACCTTTCCCCGGGATTCTTCATAAAACCAGCTTCAGCAGCAAAGACTTCTACTTGAGGACAGTCTACCTTTGGTGGTGTGAGATGCTATTCTTTTATACGGTGGTGTGAGATGTCATTAGACTTTATCATATTCATTTGAATTGAGCGTATTGTAAGACTAATATGGCAAGTCAACCGAGCGTGGGGAACGAACGAGCGTGGGGGTGAGATGCATGCAATTGAAGCAGCTACCTGAAAAGCTGGGTTTGATTCCCTTAGATACCTTTGGGTTTAGCCTTGAGGAAAGACAGCATATACCAAGAAAGAAGAGGTTGGAGGGCTTGACAGAGATGCGCGGGATGCTCCGGAATGAGCCTCAACAGAAAAGAAGGAAACTTCCCTATCTAGTTCAAGTCCTAAAACAACGGATATTGGAGAAGCTGAACGAGAAGAAATAGCCATATCCCTAGGGGCACCTTCGATCGATACTGCCTTAGACCCTGCCCTTGGTCCTAAACCTGCTTACGCTGGAGAAGCCCTTACTTCTTCAGCTTGAAAGACATCTCAGGAAAGAGCTACTTCAACTGAAGAAATTTATTTAGTAGCGAGAACCCTTCCTACTCGAGAATAAGGTCAGGAAGTGAAGCGTTTTTTCAGTTTTTCTTGAAAAATATAGTAAGTGTTATGCGGGGGTGGGGATTCAGACCGATGAGGGGCGTAGGAATTGCCCTTAACTGTCCGGAAGGCTGAAATAGCTTTCTCGGGAGCCTCCGGGAGGTCGGGGTATTCAATCCCAGGATACTCAAGGAGCAGGGCGTCGTATCCCAGGGGTTCTACTAATACATCGTATAGCGGGTCCAGGCTTGAAGTTCTACCAAAAATGGAATGGGACAGTCATTCGAAAATGAGAAAATAAAATCAGGGTGTCAAGACATCTATATGACCAAGATGGCCATCTCACGAATTGGATTCGAACCAATATCAAGCTACTTTCCTTTAGTAGATCTGTCATCCCCCTCATTATAGTCCTCCTAGAATCAATAGCATTTCGTCGGAATACATCCTGTCTTTTCACCTTAGTAGTCCTATGCATAGTCAGTACTATAGCCCCAATCATGGCTACTAATAAAATCAGACTAGGAACCAAAAACCAGACGGAATAGTAGGTATAAAGTAAATTGCCCAATGTTTCCAAATTAGTCCAACTTCGTACCTTTCCGGCATAAACCATATATCTCAGAGAGGTCGTATTTCTTTGGGTTGGTAGTAATGGAATGCTTTCATTATCTAAAATGAAGAACATTTCCCACCAAAAGATCAGTCCAATAATACCACTCACTGGTAAATAGCGCAATACTTCTTCGTGAATCTCCGCTATTTGAATATGGAACATCATAACAACGAATAGGAATGAAACGGCTATAGCTCCTATATGAACTACTGGGAAGATCATAGCGAAAAAGTCGAGACCTAACAAAAGAAGTAAACCTGAAGTGTTGCGAAAGACTGGGATGGGAAACAAAACGGAATGTACCGGATTTTTAGCACGTACAACCATCAAACCAGAGACCAAAGCAAGGCTCGACAAAACAGAAAGTATCATAGTACGTCGTCCTTCCCTGAAATGGAACTTTCATGCTGGAGCAAGAACTAGCATGAAAGTCGATCTATTACAACCAGCGCGGTTGTTCGTATTTCATTTTCTTCTTCCAAGCCCTTCTTTCTTAGCACTGAGTTACTTACGGAATCTCAAATCTCTCTCGCTTCTTCAGCTTGTTCCTGTTCGTCTATTCGGGACGGGGCAGGCAGCCCACATACATGAAGAGAAGAATAGAGAGGGGGTTATCCTGCTTAAACTTGGGAAGTTTACTACTGGAAATTGGGAAGGGCTATAAGTAGGCCGTTTGCTATTGCTATAAGGGCTGCTCGCCTTTATACGGCTTGGCTTCGCTATCGCTTCTATGTAGTGTAGTGGTCGACCTAAAAAGTCGTATTCCTGCCATGCCTATTATCCAGTGCTAGAAGCTTCGCCAGAAGCAAGCAAGACGAGGTCGCTCTGCTTCGTAGACAAGGCTCGTTCCGTACTTGACTTACGAGCTCGTGTAGTACTCGCCCCTATCTCTTCTCTAAAGGGGCGCACACTCGCTGTCTACTAAATGAGCTCACGAAGCGATCTGGGAGCGAAGCCTTCAATTTAGTTGCTTCCCCCTTTTCTTTTCCCTCACCCTACCCTTTCATTTCCGCTTAAGCTTCCCCGGTTTGGGGGATTAATTGATTGGATACCCGAGAACCATAATCTTTCCTAGGAACAGCTTCTACGACGATAGATAGGGGTCAGGTTTGTTTGGCATCTATGCCCCCTGCCCTCCAAACAGTATGGGAGCCTTTCAGCTCGTACTGCTCACACTCCTAGATCTTCACGGCACCTCCTCCACCATAGTGTGAGCTGGGAGCAGCTCCGAAAAGCGAGGCCTACTTAAATAAGTAATGAGCTTTCAACAACGTTAACAACACTACGAAAAAAGTAAACTATGGTTGCCCACTGATCTGATCATAGGTGAAATCCAACCCCTTCTCTGCTCCTTTCCTGACCCTTTCTAAGCTCTTGGATCCTGCCCTGCGCCTCTCTAGGCTTCGCTATCGCTCATGACTGGTATATGGATCTCTCTATGTAGTGGTCGGCCTTCTAGAAGCTTCGCCAGAAGCGACTAGTCGCTTCCCGAATGCCCCTTTCCTTCGCTACTAGGAGAGTCGCTAGCTTGCTTCATTATATTCTATAAGCGGAGCGACTTGTCGAGTCTACGAAGCTTCGTAGTTGCTTCCCCCCCCCTTTTTTCTTTTGCCCCGCCATGCCACTAGATCCATAATGACCGGCGAGTCGGAACATGTATGAATATAACCACGCGGAGCGCCGTACCGGCCTATCGAACGAAGCGAAGAAAGAGATCATTGAGCCTATTTAGCCGAGCGGAACCCTTTTCAAATAATATATATATATATAAAATAATAAGCTAAGGGGGCTGGGAATCGCAAGAATTGAAAAGTCCTCCATTGAATGGGATGAGAAAGACAGGTTCGGAAATGGCCGGATTAGCAGGAGGAAGGGCGGCCCCACCCTGAAACAAAGGTGTACGTACATAAATAAAGAGACTGGTTATGGCCTTGATAGGGCTCCTTCCCATCTATCTTGACCGGGAAGAGGGGGGAGGCTCTTGCGGAAGCCCTGCCCGCCCTTCTCTATTCTATTTTTAGGATCCCTCTGAGGAGGCTTTCCGGACTCGTAAAAGACGGCTAGGAACAAGAATAGGGTCAGTAGTCTCTGCCGTTGCAGGTCCTTCTCCTTCCGCTGAGATGGCCCTCTTTTTTGTTTTGTTTGTTCACCGCGGCACGAAATCATGAAGAAGCTGGAATAACTCAGAAAGAGAGTGGCGCCTAGCCGTTGAGAGCGTCTGTTGTCTTTGTAGAGGAACAGTACGATCTTGGACTGGCCCCCTTCGCATGACCTAGAAATAAAAAGAAGTCCGTGCTACTATAAGGCCTCTAAACTCCTCCCTCAGGACACTGTTGCGTTGCCCATGGGGACGGGCTAGCCCCGACTTCCATAGGTCCTTGGTTCGACCTCCTAATGAGAATTGAGGTCCTTGCGCGGGCGTCTCATCCCTAAGACTTGTTTGCTCTGTATGGAGTGCCCCGTGGTTCCTCGAGTGCCAGCCGCAGAGAGGAATGCCATCAACTAGGGCGCTATTGGCCACTAACCACTCGCTCGCCGGACGCTCGGGCTCCGCGTTTCAAGTTCGTTATCCTAACCGTATCCTCTGCTCCACCGGGAGCCTGACCCCTTCTTCTATCTTATCTACTGCCTTGCTCCTCGGCTCCATACTGCTCCAGCCGCTCGCTGTAATAGCTTGCTTCTCGGGTGGCTCGCACCCTGGGTGGTGCGGCTGAGCCAGAGTGGGCTCAGCAGTCGGCCTATCTTTCCGGGCGCACGCATAAAGGCATGATTAGTTCCACAAATCTCACTGCACTGACCATAGTAAACTCCTTCTCGTTGTACCGAAATAGAGGTTTGATTTAAACGACCAGGTACAGCATCACATTTTACACCTGGGGAAGGTACAGCCCAACTATGAAGTACATCAGCAGATGTTACAATAATACGTAGATGACTTTTGGCTGGTACAACCACTCGATTGTCCACTTCTAATAAACGTAATTGACCCAATTCTAGATCATCTTCTGGAATCGTATAACTGTCAAAAGTGAGTGACTGTTCATCGGAACTGTTATAGTCCGAATACTCATAAGGTTGGGTCGACGCCCGTCTCCCCCCAAACTGTACTTGCAAGTTTCCCCGCAAAAAGCTCTCCACGCCTACTCTTAGAAAGAAGACTCTTTTTCTTTAGTTAGTACCGACCGTAAGACCCTTTATGAGTAAGGGGAATCGAAGGCCGGGGAAAGTTTATTGGCAACAGGGAACCCTTTCTCACCCAGTCCTACCTACCCTATGTATTCAAGGGGGGGGCTGGAACCGAAAAAGACCTGGTTCCACACATATGAGACAGGCAGAAGGTATGGGACGACCAGTTCACCATGGAAAGCGAATTCGATCCTATAGTCGTCTTCTTTGTTCGAGAAATGCGCAGTGGAAAGGGATGCTAGTCGGCTCGGAGAAGTTGTAGGCCCCAATAAAAAATATCAAGATTCCTCACCTATCCTGTCAGGGGCCCAGTTGAACGCTCGAGTATAGATTCCCTATGCTCATCGGCCGGGGCCGGCCGGCCCGTAGATCTGGATCCATCCATAGACCTGACCTGATATCGTTTGTCCAAAAAGAAAAAAAAAGTTGGTTTTTAGTAGTAGTTCATGATACCTCGAATTCCCACGTTCCAGCTTGCATTATGCCAACAAGTCCCACCCCCAACTCTAGCTGAGAAGTTGAGTCACCCTTCTTTTTTTTCAGAAAAAGAATCGAATAAAGAAAGAGATAGTCTATATCCTGTATCGATCATAGGATCACTCTATGAATAGGTAAATTCTCTGTGACCTCCCACCGTTCACGACATCCCTTGCTTCTCGCTGCGAACGGCTCCTCGGTGGAAGAGTAGAAGCGCTGGTCCCCTTCGGTCAAGTTGCTTGTACCTGCTGTTACCTACCGTAGGACCTCCGTCCCCGAAGCGAAGAAAGAGGAGCAGGAACAAGAGGTTGTCCTCTCCCGGCCCAGTAGTTCCGCAACTACTACCGTGGTTGTTGCCAACGGGGATCCCCCATTCCGAAAGGTTACTGGGCCGGCCGTTAGGTCCAAAGTTGTATGCCACAGCTATGGTGCCGATAGATTCACTACTTCAGCGCCGTTATCGGACATTTCAGGCTGAGCATCTATTTCTCGTATATCGCTCCACACCGAGAAGAGGGATGTGTACCTCCAGCAACAACAAGATGGAACCATAGGCTTCTATGCTGGGAGCATTTCGGGGTCTAGGTCTAACCATCTCAACTCCCCGTTTCTGGCATGCTATAGTTATTTAAGTCTCTCGACGGCGGGAATGGGAGATTACCGGTAAGCCAGATGCTTCGCGAACCATATTCTTAAGGCATTTCGTTGCACTTAAATCACCCTCGTGAAGAGGCGCACTCCGATACCATTGATGTCCAATAGCTTTGATAGTAATGGCTGGATTTACTACTACCTCGTCCATTGAGTATAAGAGAGCAAATGATGGTATAGCAATGAACATCGGGATGATACTAGGAAATATGGTCCGAAGAATCTCGATAGTAGTTCCATGAACAATCCTTTGCGGGATTGGATTTTTTTCTTTTTGGAAATGCCATAAAGCGCGAACCAAGATCCGTGAGACGAAAACCAAAATAAGAATGAGGAAGAAAAAGATATCGTGATGTAAGTCTATTATTCCTTGCATCATAGGTGTTGCTGCGTCTTGAGATCCTAATTGCCATGGTTCCGCTGCATCACAAGGAGCAATTGTGAGAAATAGCCATTCTAGAACAATCATTTGATCTGTTTCATTCTTTGACTGCTCTGCTCCCCCAAAAAAATGGAGAGACTTGTTCTTGCTCTTCCAATTAAGGAAGACGGATTTCGCCGGTTGGTCCAACCAAGAAAGACATGGGAATTTTGGGCGTCAGATTCTTCTTCTTCTCTTACTTACGATATTTCGAGTTGGATGAACAGATCGCTCCTAAAAGCAAGCAGCCGTGTGATCTTATATACGATACCACCAGACGCGCCCCAGTTTCAAGCGAGCTCACCCTATGGACCTTGCTGAACTAGATTCCCTGCTAGCGAGAGCGGCTTAGAAAGATAAAGGAGCACAAACAAGGGTTGTTTGAAAATGAACAGATAAGCTAACGCACTACTTATTTTCTGCCTACTTGCAATGCAACTACTCCTGAGAAAGACTCAAACTGAACTAGTTGAAGCTAAGGGCCTGCCTTCCCAGCTACTGAGGTAAGGGGCAAAGGATCCACTTGATTCATCACTTTTTTCATAACCATTAGATAGAGAGAGAATCCCACCCGGCCTAGCTATAGCTATCGTAATGCGTCTCGATGCCAAAGCTTCCTGAACCAACTGAAGCAAGGAATATGAGTAGAAGAGCGCTAGCATCCCTTGCTCTCTATCGATTGCTCACCGCCGTCTCATCCAAAGGAATAGAACTGGAGGGCGAACTTCCCATCTGTTCCCGTCTCAATGTGACCATTGATAGCTTTCTCTATTGAAATGTAATCCAGTTCCGGCTTGCTGTTCAAAGGGTAAAAGGACAGAGGAAAAGGAATAGGTTAGAGACAGAGGTTAGGGACGATTACGAGTGCCTGTTCTGGTTCTTATGAGTAGGAGAAGAGGAGATTAGTAGCCCGAGTGAGAACTCCCAAGCCGAATCTGTGCTATTTCAGTAGTCTTGGTAAATATCCTTTCTCCCTTCCTAACCTAACCTTCTGTTTCCCGCGGGCTAGGCAGCTATTTTCTTTCTTTTTTATTTATGATCTTTCTTATTTACCTTTAAGGCATCCTATTCTCCGTTTTGAGTTTCTTTTGGAATCGTCTTCTTTTCAAAAAGATCTTCTCCCTTGTTCTTCCCTCTTCCTATGATCTTGACCTGCAAAGTTATTTCCGAAAGCTCCCACTATGACTAAAAAGCTCCCAATAGGCCACCCGCTTATATTATAATAAAGTAAGTAGGAAGGAGCGAAAGCTACTCGACCAGACGGGAGAGGCGACCAAAGGAAGCTGGTTCACCTTCTCTCCTCCGTTACAACATAGGTCGTTCCAATCCCGGATGAAAATATTCCAAAACTTAAGTCAAGGAGAAAGGTCCAATTAAAATGCTTAGGACTAGAAAGAAATATGATCCTATCTACAGGAACTCTTCATCATAGATCGGAGAGCTCATTTGATATATCACGAATGCAGTGATCAAGCATCAGGCGGAATGTATTGCTACCTCTTCCTCCCTCCACCATTCTATAAGCAAATGCTTGCGGGTAGGATTTCTCTCCAGAACCATCTTTCTTATGCAATTCGAGGAGAAGCGAGTAAACTTGCCTGCACCCTAATTCTTGGTAGAGTTATCAAAGAACTCCCTCGCTTGGCACAACAGCAAAGAGAACTACAATTCCAACTGGATCCAATGAGAAGAGAATTCGAACACCAACCCTTAAGACTGTAATTGGCTTGCTAGTCTTTTCCCTTGCGCTTGATAACTCTTCTGACAAGGAGTCCGCAATTGGAGGAGGGGCGAATGGAAGTACTTCACACTGAACACTCGCTTACGAAATGGAACAGAACTCTCAGGATTCGAGAAGGACTAGGCAGGCTCTTTAGGGCGATTATCCTCTTCCTTAGACATAAAGTTAGACCCACTAGGTAAATAAAGGAATTACCAAGGTAAGACACATATCGCAATATTACATCTACCTTTGCCTTACCCACAGAAAGCCTTCGCACAGATTTCCTTCCAACGTTTTTAGCAAAGGCCCGGAGAGAAAGCATAATCTAGTTAGTAGTCCTACAGAAGCCAGAATCAATCCTATAGATTAGAAACTGTAACCTATAATCTTGATGCACTCTAATACCTAAAATATTATATGCATATCCTCACCAGGGAATATGCGCAGAAAAAAGCACCTTTTTTCACTTTATCACTGGATTGCGAACTTACTTATCCTTTTGATGAGAATGCCACTACTCTTACTTACTATCTTCAAACCCGCCTATTGGCGTGTCTGGATCAGGTGAATCGCTTGGCTAGATATCTCCTTAAGCGAGATATCGTTAACTCCTTAGTTCCTTAGAAAAGGATAATAAGGGAGAAGAAAAACCCTAGCTTTCTGTCGATCCTCCAACTTGCGTCAGATCCTTTTGCCCCTTACTCTGCTGGATTGAAAGCGGATGCAAGAGAACTATCAATGGCTGCAAGTAGAACTGCCATGGAACTATATGGATAGCAACTCCCACCGGATGGAGATATCTTAACTTTGATTTCAAGCCTCTGTCTTTCGCTTGCCTAAGGTTAAGGTAAGAAAAAGAGACAGCTACTGGACACTACGGGGACTGTAAGCGATCTAACAGAACTGGCTTGTTGAACGGAACTCAGACTAGAGATATCAAATGACCTAGGGGACTGGACCTCTAGATGTAGCACTGGATGTAAGAAAAAACTCGACTGCCAAAGCAGCACTTAGCACTCCAACTAATGGCCTTAAGACTGTTGCAATTGGTACAACTGCTTCAATGGGATAGAAGGAAACTGGCTAAAAGGGATTAGAAATGGACTAGTAAGAGACTCCAATGTAACCTAAAACTAAAATTGGAACCCTAGGAGGGGCAACTTCCACTCTTTTTTTCACTCTTTCCATTGTCGTTTACTTTACGAAGCGAAGGAAATCTAAAGGTATGCCCATTTTATCGAGGAGAGGAATTACTAGCTCGCAGGCTTAAAAATGAGAACTTCCTTCCTTGCCCTCGAACCGACTATCCAACGACATGGAACACTTAGCATTGGCCTATCACTCAAATTCAATTTTATAGCACGCCAACAGGAGGGGCTTCTCTTTTTTCTCCCACTAGATAGCTAGCAGAAAGAATGGCAGGACGAAAGAAAGGCTTAGGATAGCGGGAGAGGGTGAATGAAAGGAAAACAACTCAAACTTCTGGCTCGCAAGAAAGGCGAATAACTGCAACTGAATCGACATAGACGGACTTCTAAACTTA